CACTTCTTCCGGATTTCCGGAATTCATTCCTCTCGTCGACGCTCATCCGGAGGACGTTCGTGAAGTTCATCATACTTACCTGGTGGACGACCAACGACGTCCCATGCCAGCTGTAACTGACAGCAGCATCCGCGTCGATCCTGACGAAATTGGGGGGGCAAGTGGTGAACAGAGTGAACCTGTCAATTTCGCAGGACGGACCGAAGACAGTCCTAACTATCAAACTGGCTTCAGTTACTGGGACTCGCAGCAGCAGTACAGCACAATTCTACAGAAGTCGCAGAACCGAAAACTGCCCGACAGGCTCTTTCAGGACCACATCGCGAAAAATGGCGTGAAGCCATGGATCGTGAACAGGCTGCCCTGGAAAAACGGGAGACTTGGGATCTCATACCCATCGAAAAAGCCGTAAATAAAAATATTCTTACCGGAAAGTGGGTCTTCAGGGTGAAGACGAAAGCTGATGGCTCTTACGAAAAACATAAGGCAAGGTGGGTTGTTCGCGGTTTTGACCAAACTCATGGGGTAGACTACACGCTAACTTTCGCCCCGGTCAGCCGACACACAAGTGTTAGTCTCGTCATCTGCGAAGCAGCTGCGAATAATTTTCCGCTTCGACAAATTGACGTTTCCAACGCGTTTCTTTACGCTGACGTCGATGCTGAAATCTACGTCGAATATCCGCATACCTATCCGACAAATCCGCCAAGCGTCTGCAAGCTCAAGAAGTCACTGTACGGTATCAAACAAGCACCGCGACTGTGGCAGCAGCATTTGAACAGAAAACTTACAGAAGTTGGGTTCCGACAACTGCCGCATGATCCCGGAATGTATCGACTAGATGACAAGGGGAGCTACGCGCTGCTCGTGGCATACGTGGATGATATTCTCTACGTCAGTTCTTCGGCTTCCTTGGGTGATCGCATCGAAGCAGATCTGAAGAAATCTCTTGACTTAACCGTCTCCACCGAAGTAACCGAATTTCTTGGGTTAAGCATTTCGCGAACCTCCTCCGCCATCCACCTCACAGCATCGAAGTATGCTGAGTCACTCGCTAAGCTTTTCAAGATTTCTACAAATTACGTCGCTACATCCTATCGATCTACACCCACCGGGCACATTCTAAACAACACCAAACTTTCAGCAACTGGCCTACAACTGTACCAGCAGCAACTCGGGTGTCTTCTCTTCGCAGCAGTCACTTGCCGTCCCGACCTTGCTTACGTCGCAAGCTATCTCGCACAATTCTTACGGTGCCCAAAAGAAGAACACCATCTCGATCTTCAGCGCGCTCTACACTAATTTGTCGCAACACCAACAGTCGGGCTGATTTTCAACACAGGAAAACCGACCGACAAAATGTACCTCTGCGGATATGTTGACGCGGACCACGCTGGTGACACGTCAGATCGTCGGTCACGAACAGGCTACATTTTCCGTCTCGAGCCACTTGGCCCGATCTCATGGAACTCATCGAAACAAGAACTCGTGTCACTTTCCTCGGCTGAAGCAGAATTCATTGCCGCGTGTGCTGCAACTCGAGAAGGACTATACTTACAAGAACTGCTCTACGAAACAAAGTTCGTCACGCCGAATCAGTTTACGTTGCAGTGCGACAACCAGAGTGCGATTACCATCGCCAACAAGCCCGGCTTCGTCAATCGCACGAAACATATTTCACTACGTTACTTCTTCGTCAAGGATGCGATCGACAAGGGGAGAATGCGCCTTGTCTACTGTCCCACTGGTGACATGGCAGCTGACTCACTTACCAAGAAACTGACACGACAGAAGTTTCACCACTGCAACCAACTCAGCGGCGTTTCTGAGACAACCGGGTAACTACACCGAACTCCTAGAAGTGAAGGGGAGTGTTGAGATAATATGAAGACTTAAGCACTTCAAGGATTCGTGTAGTACAGTGCGAGACTTCGCACGTAACAGTAAAGTACCGATAGGCTGACGTCAGCAAAGCGCTACGCACCCTAGGATGACGTCAGCACGTAGCTATAGGCCTCGCGAATAGTCACGAACCTTTTCAGAACAGGAATAGCGTGAATAATACAGTACAGTAGGCGAACAGGTACTTTACCCTAGCTATATATTCGGTATGCTTGTCATTTTAAAATATATTTGATTTCAGAGGCAAAGATCCTGAAACATATCACTACATGGGCTTTCATTAGTCCAGACAAAGACTCCTTAACTGGCTTTAATTCATACAAGACTTCCGCTACGACAGGAAGCTACCATCCTAGATATTACTGTCAGAATCCCAACCACTAGACCATTGGGATAAAAGGGCTTGTTAAGTAGCGGGTCAGTGCGCCCATAACCCCCCAGGCCAACATGCCTGTAACCCTTCCCTAGGATCAATCGGGGATCACCAGTGGACCTCTGACACCCCCCCGCACTGGGATGCCCGAAGTGCACACACTGGGATTCGAACCCGAGACCTTCGCTCTGATAACATGTCAGAATCCCAACCACTAGACCATTGGGATAAAAGGGCTTGTTAAGTAGCGGGTCAGTGCGCCCATAACCCCCCAGGCCAACATGCCTGTAACCCTTCCCTAGGATCAATCGGGGATCACCAGTGGACCTCTGACAATTACGATCCTATTCAATCATTTCAAATTCTAACATTCTCCATCATGCCTGGGTCGAAGCCAGATGCTTGATTAGCGGGAGTTTCAGTGGACTCAGCAGCTAGTCCTTGGGTTGTGCCTCTCCCTGTCTGTAGCCCAGAGGCTGGAGGTGGAGTAGCAGTGTTGCCGGGAGATTTAGTAGACGAGCTTCTTTCTTTCTGCGTAGCCATGCCTTCTGTTGTTGTAGGAGTTTGAACAGAGTTGTCTTTTGTCTTGACTGCTCTCATACCATGATGGGCTGAGAAAAGCCCTTAGGATCGTTTTCAAGACGAAGACTCAGAGTAGTGATGTATTAGCGGAAGCGTTTTAATGAACTGGTTGAACCACCTTGCACTGGTATGTGAGAACAAGAGAAGTTGATAATAGCAAAGAGATACAAAGATTTATATGATCACAATGGAATATGAAAGGTTTAACTAAATGTAACTGCTGTTGCGGTTCGATACAGCGACGACTCGGGTAACTGCTCAATAGTGAGTTGTCAGAATCCCAGTCACTAGACCACTGGGATAAAAGGGCTTGTTAAGTAGCGGGTCAGAGTGCGCCCATAACCCCCCAGGCGAACGTGCCTGTAACCCCCCTAGGATCAATCGGGCATCCACAATGCAGATCTACTGACACCCCCCCACACTGGGAGGCCCAAGACTGAGCACAGCGGCAACAGCCTATATGTGCATACACCGGGATTCGAACCCGAGACCTTCGCTCTGATACCATGTCAGAATCCCAACCACTAGACCATTGGGATAAAAGGGCTTGTTAAGTAGCGGGTCAGTGCGCCCATAACCCCCCAGGCCAACATGCCTGTAACCCTTCCCTAGGATCAATCGGGGATCACCAGTGGACCTCTGACACCCCCCCGCACTGGGATGCCCGAAGTGCACAGCGGCAACAGCCTACATGTGCATACACCGGGATTCGAACCCGAGACCTTCGCTCTGATACCATGTCAGAATATTAGTCACTAGACCACTGGGATAAAAGGGCTTGTTAAGTAGCGGGTCAGAGTGCGCGCATAACCCCCCAGGCGAACGTGCCTGTAACCCCCCTAGGATCAATCGGGCATCCACAATGCAGATCTACTGACATGAGTCAGTTATGTGTCCTTGCTGTCGCGCTGCTTTTCGGCGAGTCAAAGGTCGTTGACCTTTGACCTTCACTTAACTTCTTGCTGTTGTCTTTCTGTCAACCGCTTTGGTTGACTCGCTGTTACTTCGCTGTAGTTTGCTTCGCTTACGTTGTAGTGCTCATCACATCAGAAGTGCTAACTATATGTTTCCAACAAACATTAGGAACAGGAAGGTGGTTGTTGGGGCTGACAGTAAGAACTTTGTAATGAGAAAATATGTAAACTCGTTTCAATTATTAGTATAATGTAATATTTTAGTCTGGTGCTACCGTATCTGGTTTCTCTGTCTCTGAATGGGTAGTATGATAACATCTCTTGATCCAAGATTAAATAGGGTTCTCTATTCCAATCGTAAGGTAGAGTCGTTCTGCTTAGAAATACCATCTCGTAACATTTTCGTTATAACCTGTCACTCTACCATCGGTTGTGTAACTGTCATCTGGTTAATAGCATGCGCTTCGGTAGCCCTAACCTGGAACCGAGACTGGGCAAGTGGCTGCGCATCGCACCTGAAGGAGTGTCACTGTGCAGCTCAAATCGAGACATGCAGTTGACATTGTTCTGTGAAGGGCTCTCCTAAGATCGGTGTCATTTTCGCGAAGTGGGGCAGGGTTTCAGGTGATATGCCAGCCATTATTTCGCGTCGCGAGTGCATCACAGAACTGTACAGTGTCAGAAGAGCTGACAGGTGGGGATACGTTTTGACTTCAGACCATGCCAGATCAACCATATCGCTCCTCTCGTGGGGACGAATGCAAGTCTTGTGGAAGGAACACGCATGAGGGAATGTTCCATTTGCCCGCAAAGCCCTTCCACTTGCCCTCCCGCCCCGTCGACCCCCCGTCGCTTCAGCTCAAACTGCCTAGCAAATTTTCTGCCCCCCGTGCCCCGTTCAATTGCTGCATTCTGTTCCTTGCTGCGTTCTGTTCCATCCATCCCTTCCCTCCACCTTTCTCTCACCAGCAGCACTGAGCTCCAGTCCGCCTCCACCTCTACTCCGCCTCCAATTAGTCCATTCATAGATTTCGGTGGTTGATACAAGGTTAGGTCGCGCACACTGAAGCGCGCAAGTAGGGAGTACGAAGTTGGAATTAGCGTGCACGCGTTGTTTTCGGTTCTATACATCGAGTTACTGTAGAGTCAGACCCGCATCTCCCGTAGGAACCCCACTCGTTTATTACACACCTCGAGCGTGGTCAGTTTTGGTCGACGAGAGCCGTCCGATGGCGAGGGCTAGCTGGCATCAACGGCATGCCGTGCACATCTTTTGCGTCGCGGCGCTGCTTCTCTCCCTCCTCTCAGACACAACCACCATGGTACGGCCTATCCCGCCCAGAATTCTGTTAGATGCTCCGAACAGCGCGCACCGCAGCAGACTGCTCACACGCAATTCCAAATGCACTTTCGAATCCACCGCAAGTACTACAGATTAGCGCACGCAGAGCCGATGCACGGTCGTCCGCGTAAGGACTCCGCGCGCCGCTTCCTGCTTCCCACCGCGTATTCTCTCGTTTCCTTTACTGCGTAGCCTTCAAGCTGTCAAAGATGGTTTTTTTTTTTGTTTTTTTCGTCTCTCGTATCGTCGTATCATCGTACCACCGTCTATTACGCACAGGCCGACTCGGCGTTAATTCACGCCCCTCGTCCCCACCGTCGCCCATCCCCCCCATCCATACTCGGCTCTTGACTCTCCCATCCATACTCTTATTTACTCCCTGCCATCTCTAACATCCCGTCTCCTGTCTCTGCTCTCTTCCCCTGCTTTTTCCTGTGTCCCCCCTTCCCCCTCCCTCCCCCCATCCCCCCGCTCCCCGCCTCTGTGCCCTCCCTTTCCCGTGTTCTTTCCCGTGTCTCCCCCCTTTTCTGTGCCCCCCTTTTCCCCGTGCCCCGCTGTCCGCAGGTTGCGGCCCAAATGGACTGCGGCGACCTGGTACGTTCCCCTCCCCGCTCGCCCTCTGCTTCCCCCTTTTCCCCAACCCTTCTCCCCTCCCCTTCCCCTTCCCCCCCCTCTCTCGTTCCTCTTCCCCAACTTCCCCCACCACTCTCACCTCCCTTCATACCCAGTTCCGGTTTTTTGTCACCGCTTCCCGTCGTTCACCGCGCTTTTTCGCTCTCCCATCCCCCACTTCCCCGGCCTCGTCTCTCGCTCCCTTGTCTCCCCGCCCCGCCTCTTCCCCAACGCATGTCATCGCTTCCCCATTCTGGCTCCACGTCCCCGCACTCGCCCCACGTCCGCCATTTCCCCCAATCCGCACTAGCTTTATCCATAGTCCTCCGCTCACCTCCCCTTTCTGTCACACGTTCCCCCCGTTATTGTCACACCAGACGGAGTGTCCGGGGCTCGGGCAGTGCGTGGACCCGAACAAGCTGTGCGACAAGACGGCCAACTGCAAGGACAAGAGCGACAAGCGCTCCACCCACCCACCCACTCACCTCCCTTTTCTGTCACACTTTCCCCCTTGTCTGCGCTCGTTATTGTCACAACAACCTTTCGACAGACGGAGTGTCCGGGGCTGGGGCAGTGCGTGGATCCGGACAAGCTGTGCGACAAGTCGGCCAACTGCAAAGACAAGAGCGACGAGCGCTCCACCCACCCACCCACTCACCTCCCTTTTCTGTCACACTTTCCCCCTTGTCTGCTTTCATTATTGTCACACCAGACGGAGTGTCCGGGTCTCGGGCAGTGCGTGGATCCGGACAAGCTGTGCGACAAGACGGCCAACTGCAAGGACAAGAGCGACGAGGCCGCGTGGTACTGCAACCCGCTCGACTGCTCCGACCCCGACACCACCGTACGTCAACCCGCCGCACCCCTCTCAACCGCGCCACACACGCCACGCGCGCCACACCCGCCACATCCGCCTAGCTCGCCGCACCCTCCCCGGCACCACCGTGTGTCCCGCGTTCGCCACTTGCTCCCCGCGTTTGCCACCTTCCCCGACCCATCCCTGACCCTTCCTTGACCCTTCCCCATCCCGTCCCCGTCCCTCCCCCGTTCCCTCTCGCGTGGGCACCGAGTACTGTCTGAAGCCCCTGCAAGCGTGCAATCGACTCGTTTCCTCTCCTGACCACCCAACTCGACTTCCCTTTCCCCCTTCCCTTCCCCTGCCCCTCCCCCCCGCTCCTTCCCCCTTTCCCCCGCAGGTTGAGTGCGTGGCAACGGATTATTGCGTGAAGCCGACTCAGGTGTGCGACGGCATCATGCAGTGTCCGGGTGCCATCGACGAGTCCCCCGGCTTCTGCCTCGACTACCAATCCATTTAACTTCTCCACACCCCACTCCCTCCCCCGCCCTGCTTCCCCGTTCCCTTTCCCCCGGCCCCGTTTCCCCCGTCCCTTATCCGCTCCCTTCCTCTCCACTCAGGTCGAGTGCGTGGGCACGGACTATTGCGTGAAGCCCACGCAAGTGTGCGACGGCATCATGCAGTGCCCGGGCGCCATCGACGAGTCCCCCGGCTTCTGCCTCGACTACCGCAGCTCCAACTGCAACGAGGACCAGGTCAAGTGCACCGCCACCGCCGCGTGCACCAAGGGCTACATGTGCGACGGCGTCGCGAATTGCCCCAAGATCAAGAACGCGAGCACCGGCGTGCTGTACGCGCCCGATGAGGACCCCAAGTACTGCGCCGCGTACTCGTGCTTGGACGGGTTCCAGAAGTGCAGCGACGAGCTGCAGTGCGTGCTGGTCGATGCCTTCTGCGACGGCAAGAAGGACTGCCTCGGTACGTGCCCTTTTTGCCTAGCTCGTGCCCTCTCTTCCGTGCTGCGTATTCGTGCCTGGACGGGTTCCAGAAGTGCACCGATGAGCTGCAGTGCGTGCTCGTTGATGCCATCTGCGACGGCAAGAAGGACTGACTCGGTGCGTTCCCTTCTCGTCCTTCTCTTGCCGACGTCGTACCCGTCACCCGCCCTCCTTCCCCCCTCCTCCCCCCCCCTCCTCCTCTAGCCCTCCTCCCGCCCTCCTTCCGCCGTCCTCTCCCCCTCCTCCCCGTCCTCGATTCCCCCTTCCATCGCCGTTCTCGCTCATCAACCTCTCTTCCTCTCGTCTTCCTGTCGTTTCGCCGTTTCCCGCGTCCCCTTCACGTCCCTTCCCGTTTTCCCACTGCCTTCACCGTTCCCGCTCATCACGCCTTCTCTCAGTAACCCACGTCTCCTCGTTCCCTTTCCGTCTCACCAGATGGGAGCGATGAGGTCGATTGCGGTTTCCCGGACCCGGTCAGCACGGGCAGTACGGGCAGCACAGGCACAACCGGCAGCACGGGCACAACCGGAAGCACGGGCAGCACCAGTAACACTGGTACCACCGGCAGCACTGGCAGCAGCAGCAGCACTGGCAGCAGCAGCAGCACTGGTACTAAGGCCAGTACCGGCAGCACTGGCACTACCGGTAGCAGCACCAGCACTGGCAGCACAGGCAGCAGCAGCAGCACCGGCACCAAGGCTAGCACTGGCAGCACTGGCACTACCGGGAGCAGCAGCAGCACTGGCACTAAGGCCAGTACTGGCAGCACTGGCAGCACCGGTAGCAGCAGCAGCACTGGCACCAAGGCTAGCACTGGCAGCACCGGCAGCACGGGGAGCAGCAGCAGCACTGGCACCAAGGCTAGCACCGGTAGCACAGGAAGCACAGGGAGCAGCAGCAGCACCGGCACCAAAGGCAGCACAGGCAGCAGCAGCAGCACCGGCACTACGGGCAGCACCGGCAGCAGCAGCAGCACTGGCAGCAGCAGCAGCACCGGAAACACCGGCAACACTGGCAGCACTGGGTCTTCAGGAGGTGGTTCCACTGTGCAACAGCTCACCGCTCAGTACCAGGCCGCACTCATCGCCCAGGACAAGGCAAAAGCAGCTGCTGATGCTGCAGACGCCAAGGCGAGGCAGCTTCAGGCAGACGCCAACGCTGCTGGGACCGAAGCGGACCGGCTTCAGAGAGTGGCGAACACAGCTGTAGGGGCTACGGCCAAGGCGAAGAAAGACGCCGCTCAGAAGGCCAGGGCGGACGTTGCTACGAAACAGGCTGCTGCTGCCGCTGCCAAGGCGGACGCAGACAGCAAGGAGAAGGAGTATGAGAGCGCGAAAGACACGGCGGATAGGCTTCGGGAGAAGCTGAAGAAAGCGATTAGCAAGGCGCAGAACGCGGGGAGCGTGAAGGCGTCAGGTGCCGCGGCGGAGAGGCTGACTTCGGCGGCGGAACGGGCTGCGATGCAGAAGCAGAAGAAGCAGGATGCGATGTCGTTCGCACAGAACCAGCGACAGGTGAACCGGGTTAAGAAGTCGGAAAAGGCTTCTGTGGTGCTGGACCGAGCGCGGGCGGCGAAGAGCTTTTGGGACAAGTCAGTGTTTGAGCTGGAAGGGCTGATGAATGATACTCTGGATGCGGAAGCATTGCTTAATAAGATGAGCGAGCGGTATGACAATCTGACGGGAGATATTTCGCGGCTGAATCAGGAGATTCGGAAGTATCTGGCTACGGGGGAGATGGAGAAGGTGCAGCTTCGGCAGAAGAATGTTGCCCGAACCAAGAAGTGGCTTGACCAGACCAAGTCGGATCGGGACGAGGCTTATCAGGCGTACTTGGCGTCAATGACTCTCCTTGAAGGTGGGGAGGGGGATGTGTCGCTGAGGCGGAAGACATACATGCGGATTGTGAAGGAGTCGAATATTCTCAACGGGAAGGACACGACGGATCAGATAAACGATGGATCTGATGGCAGCACGGACGGTTCAGGTGACTCTTCAGGTGATGGTTCAGGTGATAGCACAGGTGGGGGTGATGGTTCAGGTGATGGTTCAGGGGATGGCAGTGGTGACCCATGGCTGGGCTGATTCATGCAGCAGGTTTGGAACATGCAACATTGGCATCTTTCAGTGTAACTCTAGCACAAGTTTTTGTTGTTTTGTATTGCTTGATTCTTACTCTGGGCTAGTTTGTGGCCGAGCAGCTTGGGGTGGGTGGGGGGGTGTGCCATTCTGACAGAAAAATATCAACTTGTTCCAATCTGGGGGCGTGCCCATGCATAAACTGTAGAATTATTGTGTTCACGATTCAGGAATTTCGAGCAATTCATTTTATGTCTAGTCTAGTCCGACCGGGAGGATGAATCTGAAGATAGAAACAGAAGATAAAAGCTCCTAACACGTATGTAATGCGGACATCAGAGTTACATTTTCGTGCAGTGTGAGTCGATTCGTGATACTGGCCAGCATTTGTGGCAACACTTGCGGAACTTTCGGGAAGAGCTCAGGTATCGTATATTTCTAGTAACCACACTCGCCACCGTCGCCCTGCCAGTCTAGTGGAGCTGGTATCCCCTGAAACCCACCTGGATGAGACGAGTCGCACCTGAGTCTGAAACACGCCGACTGCGTGAGTCACTCTCATCGCACCTGCCCCAACAGAACGCCTTCCCCGGAAAAACACTTGGCCCCCCTCGTCACACTCACGACAACACTTGTCAAGGAATTCTAGTCATGAGGCTCCTGCCCTGGAGAAAAGCCAGACTGTTTTCGATCCAAGTGATCACTGGAATTGCCGTCATTTTCGTGCCACACTACCGTGACAGACGCATACCAAACCGAACACAATTTCTACTTCGACCTACAAACGAATTACTGAAGCGTCCGATTATCTAGTGTCTGATTTTTTTGTCTAGAATATCGACGGGTCTTTTAACACCTTCTAACGTCACAACGCTTCTGCATGAGGTGTCGCACAAGCGACGGATATTAGAATCTTCTCCTCGTCGCCAGAGGCATGGCGCGGGCGTCTGGGCTCCCAACGCCCATGTCGCTAAAGCTTGTCGCAGGGGCGTTACTTTTCGCAACACTCTTCGCAACAACAAGCTCGCAGGTACTGCGATAGACACTCCCGAGGCGTGAATCGCGGACGCCATTAGCGAGCGTAACGCCATCGTAGCGCCTACTGGACTGTGAAAGTGTGATAATGATCAAACTTGCGAAACAAAAAACAGCTCCAGTTTGCCAACCAACTGGGTAGACCGTCTGGTCGGGGCGTGCACTATGCCCGCAGCGGCTGCGACAACCTAAGTATTGAGATTGTCGGGCTTCAGCCATGCTCTAATATTTCCGAGAAATGGAAAAGGCGGCTCTTTCCTCTCTCGCGACAATGCCGAGCCAGCTACTCCCCTCGTCTCTCTCCCCATGTCTGCTTTTGAGTCGACTCAAAAGCTAGAAATAAAAAAGGCGGCTCTTTCCTGTCTCTCGACAATGCCGTGCCAGCTACTCCTCTCTCTCTCTCCATGTCTGCTTTTGAGTCGACTCAAAAACTAGAAATGAAAATGGCGGCTCTTTCCTGTCTCTCTTTCCGTCCCCCGGGTTTATCCCGTTTCTCCCGTTTCTCCCGTTCCTCCCGTTCCTCCCGTTTACTTGCACGTTTCTTTCTGCAGATCGCCGGCGACCCTTGCCCAGGTTCCAACGAGGTGAGAAAGAACCCGCCATCACCATCGTCGTCACCGTCACCATCATCATCACCGTCACCATCACCGTCACCGTCACCGTCACCGTCACGCTCGCCGTCATCATCACCATCACCATCACCATCATCATCACCATCACCATCACCATCACCATCACCATCACCATCACCATCACCATCACCATCACCATCACCATCACCATCACCATCACCATCACCATCACCATCACCATCACCATCACCATCACCATCACCATCACCATCACCATCACCATCACCATCACCATCACCATCACCATCACCATCACCGTCACCGTTACCGTCACCGTCACCGTCACCATCACCGTCACCGTCACCGTCACCGCCACCGCCACCGTCACCATCACCATCACCATCACCACCCAGAATAATCAATCCCGCTACGCTAAAACGACAGACGCACGTTCTCCTTGCTAGTTCGCCTGCTTTCTGTGTCACGTCTGCGAATATTCAATAACGACACACGCACGTTCTCCTGCTTTCGCGCAGTGTCCCAGCAAGAAGGAATGCTTCGCCAAGGGCGGCTACTGCGACGGGGTGAAAAAACTGCTTAAAGCCTTACCATTAACCCAATCTCCCCTTGCTCCCCCTTTTTTCTCTCCTCCCTCCCCTCTCTCTTGCATCGCAGTGCCCCAGCAAGAAGGGATGCTTCGCCAAGGGCGACTACTGCGACGGGGTGAAGAACTGCGCGGACGGCAGCGACGAGTGGCCCTGGCTCTGCAATTTCGACATGGACTGCGGCGCCCTCAACGCCACTCACGTGAGTGCTGGGTGGAGGGAGGGTATCGGACTAAATTCTTGCATTTGAGGTCATTCGAGACTGATTGCGACGAAGGAAGGAGGGAGTAGGGTGTCAGGAGGAAAAGGGGCGAGGCACGTGAGTGCTGGGTGTAGAGAGATTCGCAGACTGGTTCTTTATTCGATGTCTAATTTGTGATTTGGGTTTGTGCTGGTTTTTCAGATTCTCTGTCCAGATGCCCCAAGCGTTTGCATCCTGCCCGGACAATTCTGTGACGGGAAAACCGACTGCCCGGACTCACTGGACGAAAACCCCAAGTTCTGCTCGAATTTCACCTGCCCAAGAAACAACATCCGCTGCCCGGGACTCAACATGTGCAAGCCTAACGGAACCCTCTGCAACGCGGTGGCCGACTGCCCCGCGAAGACAGCTGGCGGCAAGCCAGTGGACGAGGATCCTGCGTTCTGCAAGCCATACGTTTGCCCCAAGGGGTTCTCCAAGTGCAGTGACAAAGTGCAGTGTGTGGACGACGTGCTTCGCTGCAACGGCGTTGCTGACTGCAAAGGTTAGTTTCTATGCATTCTGACACATCCTAGCTGTGCAATTCTCAGGCACTCCGCTGCCTTTTCCGATATTCCTGCATTCTGGTTGTCCAATCCTCTGTTTCTCCGTTCTTCTGGTCTCTGCTAATCAACGATTCGCCTGTAGACCTTGTCTCCTTTGCTTGTCTCCCACATGCCCACAGATGGTAGCGACGAAGTGGGGTGTGAGAAGTGGAACTGCACCAAAGGGTACCGCAAGTGCCGGAACCAGTTACAATGTGCTTTGAAGATCAATTGGTGCAACAAAGTGCCTGACTGCAAAGGTGATTACTGTGCTCTTATCATGCATGCCGTGCGGCTTTCGCCCCTGGAATGATTCAGGTGGTGCCATGCTGCTGCATTAGCACGAGATTCACGTCTTCAGTCCGTTTGTGTATCGTCTGGCGTTGCTGTTTTACACCAATGCAGATGGGAGCGATGAGGACAGATGTGACATTCCTCCCGCCCCCCCTAAGGCCCCATCCACGGGTCCCCCCAAGGCTCCCCCCAAGGCTCCTCCTAAGGCTCCCCCCAAGGCTCCTCCCAAGGCCCCACCCAAGTCTTCTAAACGTCCACCACCCAAATCTGTCAAACGCCCACCGAAACCCAGGTCTAAAAAAAAGTAAAGAGAAGTATGGGATACACGTCAGGATAATGTTTTGCAATACGAGCAGTTTCTAGACAGCAATGTTGGAAATACTCTCCACAATAACATGTTTTCTCACGAAGTTTTGTAAGTTGTGTCTGTATTGTACTATGTGATTTGGATATTACTGAATCATTGGAACATAATCCGATGTCAACCTGAGGCGTCAAACCGCTAAAGTCAGATCAACCTGCGCACATTCTGCAATTGCCATTCATTGCACACAACACCCTGCGACTCGATGTTTCAAAACCCCGGCACCTCCGCATCACACGTCATTTCCACCTGACAAATCCCCTCCCCAACCGCACCTCTCTCCCCTGAATTGAGTTCTTCCCGCAGCCTTCTCTAGCCTCTGCTTCCGCGATTTTTTCTCCCCGTGATTCCCCCATTCCCGCCCACCACCCATCTCATCTCACCCTGCAAAGTCACCTGCCACAGTCAGGGCGAGCTGTTGTACTCCTTGGTTTATGCAACCACTTTCCAGACGAGATCTGAGGCCTGGGCCGCAGTGATAGCCACCCCCTCTCGCCTCTCTGTGAAAAGCTGGTTTTGGTGCTACAGCGCACTAGCACAAGCAGCAGGTATAGCCACATCAACGCTATCTTCATCTCGCAGTTTTTTTTCATTTCGCAGCTGCAGCATTCGAGCCCGCGTCACCTGTCGTATCGCGTCTAAACCGCGACACTCGAGCATTTATAAGGAACCTTTGAATTTTGCGTCCGTCCTCCGCCCTAGTTAATTTCTTCAACTCCATCGAAGGGTTAGGAGCAGCAGCGCACAACGCGCCGCATTCGGCGGCGTGAAGCATCGCCGTTGCCACCCATGGCGTTCGCGAACCGCCACGTGTGCCTTCGCCTGCTGCTGCTGGCGCTCCTCGTCGCGGCCAGCAGCTCGCAGGTAACCATTCCCTGAGGAGTAACCATCGCGCGTAACCATCGCATAGCGCGTGGCGATGCTTTCCGCTGAGAGGACGGATGGCATGGGCGGCACACGTAGGGCGGCACAAGGTGGTTGGCACATAATGGGCGGCACGCAGTGGGTGGCATTCAGTTAGCAGGGCAGAGGTTGACGGGCTTGGAATAGTCTTTCTGGCGGAGGAAGGCGGGAATGCCGTTTTGGAAAGTAGGAAGGGTAGTATTTGAGTCGACTCGAGCCGGAAGGGTAGTAATTGAGTCGACTCGAGCCGGAAGGGTAGTACTTGAGTCGACTCGAGCCGGAAGGGTAGTACTTGAGTCGACTCGAGCCGGAAGGGTAGTACTTGAGTCGACTCGAGCCGGAAGGGTAGTATTTGAGTCGACTCGAGCTGGAAGGGTAGTATTTGAGTCGACTCGAGCAGGAAGGGTAGTATTTGAGTCGACTCGAGCTGGAAGGGTAGTATTTGAAGAGGCGGAGGGAGTTTCGGCGAGAGGAGTAAGGGCAGGAACGCAGGTGGAAGGGTATGAAGAGACAGGAGGAGTAGCTTCTGAGAGCAATCAGGAATGGACAGTGAAGAGGCAATTCATCAGACAGCCCAGGTTCAGGCCCTTGATCTCACCACCTCGGCTCGCACTATCTACCTTTCCCCCCCTTCTCCCCTCCTCCCCCCCCCCCCCCCGCCCACACCTTTCCCCCCACGTTTCGCCGTCCCCCTTTTCCCCTTCCCCATTCCTCCCGTCATGCGCTCCCGCCTTCCCCCTTCCCCGCCCTCCCTCCGCATCCGTCCCTCCGCCCTCCCTCCGCATCCGGGAGGCGCATGGCAGCAGCACCCCCTGCCGTTTGACGCGCCTTCAGAGTCCCGCTTCCCCGCCGTTTCTCCGCATCCCCCTTTTGCCTGCCGCGCATCAGAACTCCCCCTTTTCCTCCCTCCCTCCGCTTCCTCCTCCGCCCGCCTCTCCCCGTCATGCAGGGGGTTCCTGGCAGCAGCGTTGACCCCTGCCCCGGTGCCAGGTGAGCTCCCCCTTCCGCCCGCCCTGTGCCCCTTCCGCCCGCCCCATGCCCCTTCCGCCCGCCCTGTGCCCCTTCCGCCCGCCATATGCCCCTTCCGCCCGCCCTTTGCCCAATGCCCGCCTCACCTGCGCTTGGCTTGTTCCCGCCCCACTCCCACTTCCCCTTTCCTCACCTTCCCTTTCCCCCTTCGTGCTCTCTCCTCCCCTCTCCTGGGTCATTTCCTCTCCCACTTCCCTCATCTCTCCTCCCCTCGCCTTTCCTCCCCCCTTCCTGTTTCCTCCGTCTCTCCTTCCCTCTCCCCCATCTCCTCCCCCACCTCTCTTGCAGTTTCCCAGCAAGGCGGGATGTTTCAGCCGCGACCACTACTGCGACGGGGTGAAGAACTGTGCAGACGGCAGCGACATGCGGCCCTGGCTCTGGATATGCAGCTTCTGGCTCGACTCAATCCATCGCCTCTCTCCTCCCCCCCTTTTTCCTCCTTCGCCTCTCTTGCATTGCAGTGCCCAAGCAAGAACGGGTGTTTCAGCAAGGGCGACTACTGCGACGGGGTGAAGAACTGCGTGGACGGCAGCGACGAGTGGCCCTGGATATGCAGCTTTGACATGGACTGCGGAGCCCTCAACGCCACCCACGTCCTCTGCCCGGACTCCCCCAGCGTCTGCATCCTTCCCGGGCAGTACTGCGATGGAAAAACCGACTGCCCGGACGCGCTCGACGAAAACCCCGGCTTCTGCGCGAATTTCACCTGCCCGAGAAACAGCCTCCGCTGCCCGGGGCTGACCACGTGCAAGCCGGGAGGAGCGCTGTGCAACGCCGTCCCCGACTGCCCGGGAAAACTTGCCGGGAGTGTGGCTGTAGATGAAGATCCGGCCTTCTGCCGGGGTTTTACCTGCCCGAAGGGTTCTTCTAAGTGCAGTGATAACCTGCAGTGTGTGGATGACGTGTTGCGGTGCAATGGAGTGAAGGAGTGCAAGGATGGGAGCGATGAGGTGGGGTGTGACGTGTGGAACTGCACCAAGGGGTTCCGCAAGTGCAAGGACCAGCAGCAGTGCGTGTCGAAACTGAACTGGTGCAACAAAGTCACCGACTGCAAAGGTGAGAATCGATACACCATGAGCCTTGTCCATATTCATACATTGAAGAGTCTTCCTTTGCTTTCACTACTGTAATCTGTTTTCTGATGCCCTTCAGGGGTTTGTTGCCCCCCGTGTCTCCGGCTGGCTCCCACTCTTCCTCCCGACTTGCTCACTGTTTCTCCATCTCTCTGTTTCTCTCGATGGTTCTGTAAACCAGATGGTTCTGATGAGGCTACCTGCCTTCCTCTCAATGGCCCAGACAGCACCGGCGGCAGCTTTGGCAGTGGCACTGGCAGTGGGGCCGGCAAACCAGGGGGACCCACTGGCGGTGGCAGCAGTGGTGGCAGTGCTGCTGGAAAGCCGGGGGGGGGCAGTGGCAGTGGGGGCAGCGGTGCTGGCAAACCAGGGGGAGGAAGTGGCGGTGGCAGTGGGGGCAGCGGTGCTGGCAAGCCAGGGGGAGGAGGTGGCAGTGGGGGCAGTGGCAGTGGTGCCGGCAAGCCAGGGGGCGGCAGCACTGGCGGTGGGGGCAGTGGTGCCGGCAAGCCGGGGGGAGGAGGAGGTAGTGGGGGCAGTGGTAGTGGTGCCGGCAAGCCAGGGGGCGGCAGTGGTGGTGGGGCCAACAAAGGTGGTGGCACTGGCGGCGCAGGAGGCAAGCCCTGGAGGTTCCTCTGGGGGCTCTGTGAAGAAACCCTCTCCACCCAAGTCAACCCCTCCTAAAACATCTCCCAAGCCACCCGCCAAGTCCCCTCCGAAATCTCCACCCAAGACCACACCCAAGCCGCCTACCAAGCAGGGCCCCAAGCCCCCTGCCAAGAGCCCTCCACGCACCCAGACCCCCTCACCGGGAACTCCGGGGTCAGATTCTGGTACGCGCAGGAATGTTGCACCCAAGTATCCCGGGTCGCAGAATGATGGCAAGAGGAGCATTACCATCACCATTCGACTTTGAAGTCGCCGCTAGGCGCTGACCGTAAAATCTTTGTGGTATTGAATGTCTGTATTTGTAGGGATTCTTCATTGTATGATGATGTAATGTGCCCTGTAATTTTGCTGCTCCCTGTTCCGGTGTATGTAATTGTTGGAGTCAAATTTGTTATGTGTTGTAGCATTCGACTCTATTATAGAATATCTTTTTACATGCATCGGTAATGTACTTAAATGAGCCAATCAAGTCAAACGCGTACACACCTACCCACCACTCCGCTCCCACCAGCAACTGTCACAACGCAACACAAATCATCAGCAGCGGGTCAAACTGAGCCTACTTGTTTATGCTTTTGGGTAGAATCGAGGCTCTAGTTCAGTGTCATCGCTCCCAAACACATGACAGTTTTTCATGGCTACCAGTTTTCCACCGCATTGCTGGTCAGGTGAATGAGCAGCAGCGCGCGCCAACCAACGTCCATGTCCCGTGAAGCTATCCCCCACGACACGCCGTGTCAGCCGCCGTCAACCACGGCGGCTCCTATCCTCCCCGACAGGCTTATCTTTTGTGGTAACACGCCGTTTCTTAAGAATTCTCAAGAACAGACTACCCCGTTTGTAAGCTACCTTAAAGTACTGTAGTGAACCGGAACGCACCGTAGCTCGGCGCTGATTCTGACACGAATAGCAGCCGTCGCACAAGCATGAGGAAGGCCGCGTCTGGGTCGGACTCGTTCGTCGTCACGCGTCGCCAGGCGTTCGCATGCGTCGCCGTCCTCTTCGCCACGATGCTCTCCCTCTCCGCGATCTCGCACCGCCTTGGCCACACCTCCGGGTTCCGCGCCGCGCAACTAAGCCTGTCGATCAACTCGCACTTAGCAAACGCCGCGTCCGCCGCAGGTGGGGGGATATCGAGTTCCCAGCGCAGCGAGATTGCGCCGAATGTGATTACAACGGGGGAGGGGAATCCGTGCGGGGAAATCGCGAGCCGGCACGGGGCCTGCGTGGCGCCTTGTCAGCGGCGCACCAAGTCCGGGCATTGCGTGTCGGAGATGCTTCGTCTTTACGACGAGGCGTACGCGTGAGTGATGGGTACTGAACATGAATTGCATGGCGTATGCGTGAGTGACGGGCATTGGGGTTCTCCGTATCCCCCATATCCTTCTTCTTCTCGCCCCAATTTCCATTTCGTCCCCCTATCTCCCCGTCCTTCCCCGTCCTTCCCCATCCTCTCACTCAATGCTAGTGCGCAGCCACGTGTCTGATGCCTTCCTTCCCCCCCATCCCCCATTTCCCTCCTTCCCCCCCATCCCCCCCATATTCCCCCCCATTTCTGCCTTTCCCCCCTCTTTGACCCCAACCAGCCCCTTGTGGCCAGCACGTGTAGACCTGCTGGTGCGCAGCCATGTGTCAGATGCTCTTCATTCTCCTCCCATCCCCCTGTCTCCCCCCTCATTCACCCCCGCCCCCATTTCCGCCTTCCCCGACTTCCCCCCAACCAGCCCACTGTGGCCGGCGCTTCTTTTCTCCGCCAATCGCCCCTGTCTCCCCCTTAACCAGCCCCCTGTGGCCAGCCCGGGTGGACCTGCTGGTGCGCAGCCACGTGTCAGATGCTTACTTTCTGATAGAGGTGCTGTTCCGGAGCATCGAGCAGATGTGGCCACGTGGCATTGGTGACGTCATCCTGGTGCTGGACGAGGGCGAGAGCGTTGTCAGGGACCTCGTGCCGCCCTGGGTCAAGGTGAGTCAACGCCCTGGGTCAAGGTGAGTCAACGCGGGTCAAGGCGGTCAACGGTGTCATAGCTGGTTCCTGGTGCTGGACGAGGGCGAGAGCATTGTCCGGGACCTCGTGCCGCCCTGGGTCAAGGTAAGTCAACGCGGGTCAACTGTAGTGAGACAAGTTTGGGCACTTCCCTTACCTCACCCTTACCTTACCTCACCCACGCTGCTCCCCGTACCTTACCTTGCTTCTCACTTCTCCCCAACCTTGCTGCTCCCCCGTCTGCCCTATCGTCTGCTCGAGCTACCACCAGGTGTAAGAAGGACTATCTCGACCTGCCAGGGAAGATTTTTGAGGCGCCTCAAAACGACTTTTGAGGCGAATTTTGAGGCACCTCAAAAGTCGAGCTACCACCAGGTGTACTAAGAAACTATCTGGACCTGCCAGGGAAGATCCTACAGCAGCGCCAATGACCCTCACCCGTGCTACTCCCCTGCCATAACCTCTTTGCTGGCCTCTCTGCCTGGTCTGCACCATACCATGTGTATTACGAGAAGAACTATCTGGATCTGCCAGGGAAGATCCTCCAGTAGTGGAGCTACCTTCTTTCCCTGCCCTCACCCTTGCTCTTCCCCTCCCTGACCTATATTCCCCTCCCCTCAACTTGCTACTCCCCCGCCCTGTCTGCAACAGGTGTACTACGAGAAGAATTATTTGGATCTGCCAGGGAAGATTCTCCAGCAGTGCCAATGACCCTCACTCACCCTAAACCTCTTTGCTCCCCCGTCTGCCCTGTCTCCCCCCCCCGTCTGCCCTGTCTGCCTTATCTGCACCAGGTGTACTACGAGAAGAACTATCTGGATCTGCCGGGGAAGATTCTCCAGCAGTGGAGCTACCTGTGGGCCGACAACTACACCACCGCACCGTACATTGCGATTATAGACGATGACGTGGTCTTTAACCTCAAGGTGCGCCCCCAATATACACATGCCAGTGTGTGTGGGTGTCTGTGTGTGCGTGCGCGCGTGTGTGCATGGAGCAGTGCAGCAGTGCAGCAGTGGAGCTACCTGTGGGCTGACAACTACGCCACCGCGCCATACATCGCCATTATCGACGATGACGTTGTCTTCAACCTCAAGGTATGTGTGCATGTACAGGCGAGGAGGGTGGGGCATGTATAGACGACGATGTGGTTTTCAACCTCAAGGTACGCGTGCGTGCGTGCATACATGTTGACGTGCGTGCATACATGTTGACGTGCGTGCATACAGCCGTGCAACCATGCAGGAGCAGTGGAGCTACCTGTGGGTGGGCGGACAACTACACCACTGCTCCGTACATCACCAGTATAGACGACGATGTGGCTTTCAACCTCAAGGTGAGCGTCCATGTGTGTGCATACCTGCGTGTGCGTGTGGGTGCCTGTGTGTGTGTACGTGCCTGTGTGTGTGTGTGTGTGTGTGTGTGTGTGTGTGTGTGTGTGTGCGTGCGTACGTGCAGAGCAGCACTGGAGCTACCTGTGGGCCGACAAACACATTGTGGCCCCCTCTCCCACTTTCCCCATCGGCCCCCCATCCCCACCCCAACACCAGGTGACGCCTGGTCTCCTGTTCAACCTAACAGAGGGCAAGCCGATTGTGATTGGGTCGCGCAACGCGCAGCGCAACAACTGGCTGCCGTCCACTCGCTGGCTCGTGGGGCACCACGCCTACTTCGCCAACTCTGTCTTTCCACTGACGGTGTTGCTTCACCCATGCTCCCCTCTCCCTCCTTCTCCTCTCCGCCCCTTCTCCCTGCCCCCCCACCCCACCCCAACACCAGGTAACTCCCGGCCTGCTCTTCAACCTAACAGAGCGCAAGCCGATTGTAATAGGATCGCGCAACGCGCAGCGCAACAACTGGCTGCCGTCCACGCGCTGGCTGGTGGGGCAGCACTCTTACTTTGCCAACTTCATGGTGCAGCTGCCCTTCGTCTTTCTAAGAGATGTGCTGCCCCATACTGTGTCACCCCTGCCCCTCTTCTCCCCCCTTTTCCCCTCCACCCCTTCCCCCTCCGCCCCTTCCTCCTCACCCCACCCCCCTCCCCCCTCCGCACACCAGGTGACGCCCGGTCTCCTGTTCAACCTAACAGACAGCAAGCCGATTGTAATAGGATCGCGCAACGCGCAGCGCAACAACTGGCTGCCGTCCACTCGCTGGCTGGTGGGGCAGCACGCCTACTTCGCTAACTTCATGGTGCAGCTGCCCTTCGTCTTTCCAAAGGGCGTCCTGCCGAGGTTCAGGGAGCACGTGGGGGTGTTGCATCGGGACAAGTTCGGGAAGAGCTTCGACAAGGCATTTAAATATTTTGCGGAACGCGGGCCAAAGTTTGAACGGTGAGATGTGGGATGCAGTGCTGTTGGGTGGCGAGTGGTGCTGCCGGGTGGTGTGCGGTGCGGTTGGGTGATGAGTGGTGCCACTCGTACACTCTTCTTCCCCCGGGACGTGCTGCCGAGGTTCAGGGAGCACGTGGGGGAGTTGCATCGGGACAAGTTTGGGAAGAGCTTCGACAAGCCCTTCAAGTATTTTGCGGAACGCGGGCCAAAGTTTGAACGGTGAGATGTGGGATGCGGTGCAGCTGGGTGGTGTGTGGTCCTACTGGGTGGTTTGTGGTGCTGCTGGGTATGTGTAGTGCTGCTGGGTGGCGTATGGTGCTACTGGGTGGTTTGTTTGTGGTGCCACTGTGATGTGCTTGCATCATTTTGAGCCTACTCTGATGATGTCACCCAGGCTTCCAGCACTCCACCCTCTGTCTCATACCTCTCTGCCTCCATCTCAACCCCTCTGTGTCCCTCTCATACCGCTCTGTCTGCCTCTGCAGAACGCAAATCGCCCACACGACTCTGGGCAACTACATGTGGGCCTTCACTCAGGACGAGGTGAGCAGGGAGAGAGGCATGTGGGATTCGTGGGTGTGAAGAGAGACTAGGGTTTCGAAGCCCACATAAAGCTGCATGTCCACACGATTCTGGGCAACTACATGTGAGTTTTCACCCCTCCTCTCCCCACCCACAGGTGCACTGGGTTTTAGAATGGACCGACCACATACCCATCCCCCGAGTGGGAGTGCACATACGCGACTCTGCTTCTCATCCATCCTCTCCCCTCTTCTCCCCCCACCCTCAGGTGCATTGGGCACTAGAGTGGACCGACCACATACCCATCCCCCGAGTGGGAGTGCACATACCGTACTCCTGGCCGTTCAGAGAGGCCACCAACCACACCGACAACATGCCTTGAGTCTGTGTGCACATACCCTACTCTCTTCCCACCCCTCACCCATCAGGTGCACTGGGCATTAGAATGGACCGACCACGTACCCATCCCCCGAGTGGGAGTGCACATACCGTACTCCTGGACGTTCAGAGAGGTCACCAACCACACCGACAACATGCCGCGAGTAATCAAAGCTTACATAAGTGTTTCCGGGTACTTTGCACACGAAGCTATCTGCCATGCCTTCCCTCCTGGGGAGCTGGATGGGTGCGACGATGTTAATTACACCCCACAGCAGCAGATTTGGCAGTATGCGTTGAATTGGTTTGACTGGCCGGCGATCAAGAAGAAGTGGGAGAATGGGACGTATTTGTATGATGTTTATCAGAAAGAGATGCATTGCTTGTATTGGGAGGGTGTGACTGCAGCGGGGGAGATCGGGGAGGACGGGGAAGGTATTAGGAGAGATGATTTGGTACGGCGGATGCGGGATAAGTGTATTGTTACAGACTCAAACTGTTGTTTCAATTAGCAGTAACTGGGGTTCACTTGTTTTCATTGAGTTTATAACTACCGTAAAACTTGGTCTTGTGTTGGATCATGATATGGATGGGTGCCATATTAGTTGATCAGCTATTGGTGATTTTCCTTCGGCTACTTGACACAGTGCTTGTGCTACAAAGAACTACGGTATCGTACCGTAGAAGCAGCACAGACATGCACCCATTTCATTCCAGAAAGAAGCTTTGCAAAAACGACTCAGCTTCTACCGGTATGATGCTGCAGCTGCTGCACTCATGCACAAGAGGGAGATTTCTCCTCATGCACTATCTACTAGCAAAGCAAAGCTTCACATCAAGCACTAATAACCCAGACACTCGATGATCTCATGACCCGCCATTCGTTGTCGTCGCTACTCCCAATCCCCTGCTCTCCAATCCTCCATGCGGCAGGGAACACACAGCGACAGCACACCTCATCTCACACACACTCATTATCACATGAGATCAGCCCCGTCGTCGCCAATCTCACTCTCGTGCTCGCCCCTCCTCCCCGCAGCAGCAAACGCACAGTCCGGTGCAGCAATTCCCGAGGTCAGATAGTCCTGCACGCGCCCATCCAGCAGCCCATCGCCCCCCTCACTGCTCTTCACATCTACCGGCTCCCGCAGCAGGCGAGTCAGCAGCCGGTGACGCAGGGACCGCACGGCGCGAGATGCCTCGCCGCGAAAGGTTTGTCCCAACACACTGTGAATGCCCTCCGTGTGCTGGTGGGGAAAGGGGGAAGGAAGAGGGGGGGAGGGAAGAATGCAGAGGAGAGATTCATTCACCACAATGACGGTTGCTTGGCATGGGGGCGCACCGCGCATTTCTCGATTCAGATCTAATCGCTAAGAATTTTCGAGCCGACTTTTGACGACTGCCACACTGTCGATTTTAGGCGCGTCATTTCAACAAGACATGTCATCACCCTTGATGAAAAACGTCATTGACTTGTGTGTTTAGCCATCTGTCTGCATGTGTCAAGCACTTCGTAGTCGAGATCGTTAGCAGGGCTATTTGTGAGTAAAAACATCTCAACCATTCTACTTGTATGTAAGGGTCTACTTTGTCAAAGTTACGAACGAGAATGAATGAACTATGAAATAGTTGGGTACAAGTACTAACCCTAATTGGGTTGTACCCCTTATGGGCTACCCCACTACAGCCTACACAAATGTATAAGCTATAATGTTCTAACACACCTCCATAGGCAAAGTGAGGGAGAATAAGTGGTCACAAGACCAGTAAAAAAAAGCAAAGCAAGCTCAGGGTGGATCACAAAGTCACCACACAGTCCGAGCACAAGCAAACGGCCACAAGGCCAGTTCACATGCAGAGTTATATAAAGAGAACAAACAATACAGTGATCATACCCTAGCAAGAGCAAGCATGCAGGTATATATATAGATCACAGTACAAGCAGAGTCAAGCAGTAAGCAAGTGCGGCAAAGTAGGCACAAGGCCTAACACAGTAGAAAAGCGCTGATGTTCACCAGGCGGAAGTGCCTTGGTGAAGACATCAGCAGTGTTGGCCCGAGTGGCCACGTACGCAAGACGAAGGTGGCCAAGCCGCTGCAAACTCTCAAGCAAGGAAGTATCGCTGAGCGATGTGCTTCGTTCTGTGCTCCAGTCTGTGCTCCTGACACAAGGCAATCATGGCCTTGTTGTCTACGTACGGAACTGGAGGAGAACGAGGCTGCTCTCCCAAGTCGGTCAACAGGTAGGTGAGCCAGCGTAGCTCCTGAGCAGCCATGGCCCCGGCGTAGATCTCAGCCTCACAACTGGAGCTGAGAACCAAAGACGAGCGGGTAGACCGCCAAGAAACAGAGCCGGAACCAAGGCTGAAGGTGTAACCCTGTGACGACCACTGCGTAGCTGAGTCGTCAACCCAGGAGGCGTCTGCGTGACCAGTGAGAACAACTGGACCCCGTCCTCCAAGCACAAGCCCCATGCCCGACGTACTGCACAGGTAACGCAGTACCCTCTTCGCAACACCCTCTTCCGGCATCCCAGTGCACCTTTTGGTGTCTACCAGGAGCCACGTAGCGAGCCAGAAGGCTGAGAGGGTATGCAAGGTCAGGTCGTGTGCACGTCATCAGGTACATGAGGCAACCCACAAGCTCTAGGTACGGACCACTCGGCTCTGCGGACTCGTCCGAAGGTGGAGCTGAGAGCGAGTGGCTGGTAGACAGAGGAGTGGGCTGTGGCGAGGAGAACTGGAAGCCGGAGCGCTGAAGGACCTGGTGCACCATGTGTGACTGAGTCAGTGTGATGGTGCGCCGTGCTCTGTCCCGGGTGATCTGCAAACCAAGATAGTTGCGCAGTTCACCCAGGTCAGTGCAGGTGTGTCTCTTCTGCAGCTCCGACTTTACAAGGGTCAGTGCCTCAATGTCAGCAGTGGCAAAGACGAGGTCGTCGACGTACACGAGGACGTAGAACGGCGGCAGTGACGTGTCGGTGCGTAGAAACAGCGACGGGTCAGTAGTAGAAGGAGCAAACCCAAGAGCTGCAAGTGTAGTCCTCAGTGTGTCGTGCCACTCGCGAGGCGCCTGGCGGAGACCATAGACTGGCCAGCGGAGGCTCCACTGAGTACTTGCAGGAAACGTCCCAGTGAAACCAGGTGGTCGGCGCAGCCAGATCTCCTCGTGCAGGCTGCCCTACAGGAAAGCTGTGCTGAAGTCCAGAGAGTGCAACTCGTAGTCACGCTGAGCAGCGACGTGCAGCAACACCCGAAGAGTAGTCATCTTTGGGGTGGGGGAGAAGGTCTGGAAGTAGTCAACTCCCTGTCGCTGACTGAAGCCTCGAGCAACGTAACACGCCTTGAAGGCAGACGGAGAACCCGACGGCCGCTTCACCCTGAAAATCCACATGCCATCGACTATGTTTGCCCTAGACGGGGGAGCTGCGTCGACGTAGGTGCCTGTGGACTTCCAGGATGCCCTGTCGGCATCCATAGCTGCCTGCCACTGAGAGGAGTAAGGACCCGTAATCACCTCTGCGTAAGAGCGCGGGGTCGGGATGTCTGGAGCATCCGGGTCTCTCTCACGGGCAAGCAGCATGGAAGCGAATCGAGGTACAGTAGCTGCAAGACACTCAAAGTCCTCCTGCCTGTCCTCAAGGACGTCCGGGCCAAGAGCACACTCACCCTCGACGGACGGAGGACTGGCAGACACAGACTCAGCAACTAGAGCAGAGGCGTAGTCGAGACAGCAAGCAACAGCAAAGTCAAGCAGCTCAGCAGCTAGAGCAGACGCAGCAGCAGACTCAAAGGAAGGGTCAGTGACAGCAGTGGCGAGGAGACGAGAGACATTGGGACTGGCAGCACGAGCGTGGTCAGACGCAAGGTCAGGGACCTCAGGAAGAGAGGACTCAGGAGGATGAGGAAGAGGAACACGCAGTGGAACAGAGGAAGGACGGAGTGCCATAGTGTGCGTGCCGGGGACAGGAGGAGGATGCGAACGAGGAGCGCGACGAGCAGTGCAAACAGGCGAGACAGGACGAGACGCAGGCTCACGACGCTCTGTAAGACCTCCGGACTGCTCAGTGTAAGGAGAGGGAGCAGGCAGTGCAGAGGCTGGCTGTAACGGCGGCTGCGACTGGTCAGGCGGTGGACACAGGAAGGGAGGAGGAAGACCAGTAGAAGACGAGACACCAAGAACCTGCTGAAGCAGGGGAACGAAGTATGGTCGCGGCCGCACAGTGCCTCCAGTACCTCCAGCGTCAGGGTCAACCACTCCAGCTCCTGCAGCCCCAGCGCCTCTGGCGCCAGTGCCTCCAACTCCAGCTCCTGCAGCTCCAGCGCCTCCTGCGCCAGGGCCTCCAACTCCAGCTCCTCCAGCTCCAGCGCCAGCTGCTCCAGGCTCCATAGGGTCTCCAGCTCTAGTGCTCCCAACACCACCAGTCCCGGCAGCTCCAGCACGACTGGTACGAGCACCTCCAGGACCAGTAGCCGTAGTACCTCCAGCACCGCCAGCTCCAGTAGTAACAGCAGCACCTCCAGCTCCAATGTCTCCCGCTCCTCCAGCTCCGGGAGCCCCACTCCGACGGTGTGTGCGCCGAACAAGCCCCTCACGCAGCTGCTGCAAGGACAGTCGCGGCGAAGCACCAGCAGGACCTCCAGACGAATCAGCACCCCGAGGCGCAACACCCCCAGACTCCGCACCCTCCGACTCAGCACCCCCAGGCTCAACACCCTCAGGCTCAGCACCCCCAGATCCTGCACCCTCAGACCCCGCACCCCCCAGCTCCGCACCCCCAGACGCAGCACCCCCAGACGCAGCAACTCCAGACGCAGCACCTGGAGCAGCACCTGAGCCGACAGCTATCTGAACAGGCGCAGTACCAGGGAGAGGGTCTAGCTGAGACACACCTGAGGGAGCAGGACCCTGGGGCGGGAGGGGGTCTACTGGAGGTGGACCGAGAGCAAGGAAGAGCGGCGGGGGCGGGGGAGGGGCAGAGCGGTAGGGGAAGAGACGGTAGAAGGGAACCGACTCGTCGAACGTGACGTCCTGAGCCAGGCGCGAGGTGGGGTGGTAAAACTGCCAGCCAGGCGCGTCAAGGACAAAGCCAAGGAAGACGCAGGGAATGGCGCGGGCGGAGAGCTTGTCCGCGGACATATCGCGAACAAAGGCACGAGAACCACAGACCTAGAACACCGACGCATTGCCAACCTTCCCCGTCCAATGCAGTGTGGGCGAGGTCTCCGGCAAGGAGACACGGGGCCAGAGGTTGAGCTGATGCGCAGCGTACCGGACCGCAAACGGAAACAGAAAATGGGGAGCGGCCGCATGGATCATGGAGGTACGAGCGACCTCCATGACTAAGCCAATGCGGCGCTCAGCAATCCCATTTTGCTGAGGGGAGTCCGGAAGCGTGAACGACTGGGTGATGCCCTCCCCACGACAAAAGTCCCGCAAGAGGTCGGAGGAGAACGCACCACCTCTGTCAGAGTGCAGACGTAGGACAGGAAGGTCCGTACCAAAGCGCTCGCAGAGCTGGAGATGGACTGTGCGGATCCAAGGGATCAAGACATCAGGGACCCCACCCTTGCTGCGCAAGGGGAAGACCGTGGTGTACCGCATGTAGTCGTCAACGACCAGCAGAAAGTAGCGCTCGCGGCCCTGTCCACTGACGCGGGCTGGGCCCCACACGTCCATGTGGAGAGTCTGCAGGGGAGCAGTCGTCAGGGGAAACGAGGAGGAGTGAGGAGCGGCGCGCTGCCGCCCCTCGACGCAAGGAAGGCAGGGCGGGGCAGGCGAGGGCGGGAGGGGAGGCAGAGACCTGGGTAGACCAGAGACGAGAAACCGGGAGTGCATGCCACGAAGGCGTGGCAGGGAGGGGTGACCCAGGCGGTGGTGCCACAGAAGAGTCTGGTGCGTCAGGAGGCGACACGAGCAAGAGGCGGCTACCTGACCTGACGCGGACACCTGAGCAGACGCAGCTACCTGAGGAGGCTCGGTAGCCAGCGTGTACAGACTCGACCCTGGCCGACGAGTGAACGCCAGGTGACGCCCCGTCTGTGTGCACGTGCAGATCGACACACGCTGACCCCCAGGAGTGGTGGTAGTGACCATCGCATCCTGAGGGGCAGTTGTACTCACCAAGATCGTAGAGAACGAGGGGAGGTTAAGACCTGACAATGAGCCGGACAGAATCGCCAGACACGGGAGGACAGTGGAGGAATGGGCAACGGCTGGGCCCCCAGAGGGGTCAGCCAGTCTGACCGGGACAGGTGCTCGGAGAGGGGTGAGAGTGGTGCTGTCACGAAAGAAACAGCGCGAGGCCTCAGAGTCCAACGTGAAGGTGTGCAAGGCCTCAGCAGGCGCAGTACCAAGGGGAGTACCAG